AAAAAAAAAAAAAAGGCACTATAATGCACTGTTGTTGCACATCCATATAATCCAGATAGTCAGATAACTTTCAGTTATGTTTCTTCCTCTAGTGTTTTGAAGGCCATGGAAGGGAAAGAGATAACTGATCAGCTGGTGAGTTATTCAAAGCACTGCAACATTTTAAGAATCTCTGAATTCCTAGACCTTGTAGATTAAATTTACATTTTACCTTTGGGGCATTGTATTGCTTTACCAAAAAACCCAATGTAAGCAAAACTGAGATTGGGTTCTACAAGCAGAGTGCTCCWCATCACCAATATGTTTTATTTATTGGATATTTTCTCAGTAACTTTTTATTTTACCTGACTTTGTAGTAAGCATTCAGTAAGTTTATTTGTGGCATTCACCCATGCACAGCGCATTATGTGAACTATTTATTTATTGGCCTGATCCAATTAAGAACAATTTGCTACTGCTGCACTATAGCTGCTGGCTTTGCTGTTAATCATTAACCAGTGTGTTTGAAATCATTTGTACCCTAGAATTGCTGAACATTCTTTTTCAGAGATGGAAAATAATGTCTTGCAAGATGAGGATTGAGCAGTTGAAACAGACCATTTGCAAAGAAAATGATGAAATGACAAGACGTGAGTAATACTTGGGCTTTTGTGGTATGTAAAACCTCTGTGCCTTGRAGAGTGAAATATCTATTGATGTGCATTTGAATGGTAGTTTAAAAAATGATTTGAATGTTAGTTTAAAAAATGATGAGTTTCCAAACTGTCATTTCTTGAAAAAGTTTGCAGGCAAATCAGCGAGAGATTTTAGTCATTTATGCTTGGGTTCTAATTAACAAGCAATATATATGTTATTCAGTTGAAAGAYGATCATTTTGCAACAGTTTAAAAAGTAAATGCTTAGCAGCCTGTGACTGCAGCTTTGTTTCTGCAGTTGGTTTTCTTTGGTGTTTCTGAACGTTTCCTTTTGATAAAGAGGAGTAACAGCTCTGCAGTTAGTAGGAATTCCRTGTAACTGATGCGTTTTAACCCACRCCTTTGTAGAAACCCTAAAACCCTCCTTCAGCAAGACTGTCACTGAAATATGGCACAGGCTGGAGAGCTGCTGTCACTCAGCAGCTTCAGTTTGAAACTCAGTAAATATTTTACACACATGAGAGATTTGTAGTGTCATCCTTCAGAAGAGAATATGCAGCACTCCTTACAAGCTGCACACAAAGGGAAGATAAGGAATGTGTTAAGGCACATACTGCCTGAATTGGAGGCATTTAAATGACTTGAATTTCAGGAGAAGTCATACAAAGAGTGGAAGCACAGGCATATGAATGAGATTGTTTGTAAAGGAATAGCACAGGCTTGCAGCTTTATCATGAGAAAGGTTGAGGAGCAAAGTAATGTTCAGTTAATGAGCAGCATGGATAGTAACAAGAAATAGATAATAAGAGCAAGGTGAAGGAATGGGTGAACCTGCTAGTTGACAGAAAAGACAGAAAATAACAGTTAATGCAGAGAACTCTGAAAATACTCAGTGCTTTCTTTGCTTCATTTTCACCCAAAGAAAATGTGATCAAGTGTTTAACCAGACTGAATTTTACATGGTGAGAGRACTGCAGGCCAAGGAAAGAAAACAGCCAGTTAAATATTATTTTGATTATGTCAGCAGGTCCTTATAAGATTAACCTTAGAGTGCTTAAGGAGCAAGCTGAAGTGGTCTGTGGAACACTTGATCTCCTGAGGGAAAGAGGCTGTCCCAGGAAAYGGGGTGAGAGCAGCATCTCTTCCAAAGGCTGGAGGAAGGGAGACCCTTAAACTAATGACTCAGTCATCCTAATATAAAGCTGTGATTAACTTAGAAGTTAATGTAGTTAAAAATAAATATTACTGTCTGTTAAGAATAGGTCTTGCCACAACAGTCCCCTTCTCTAGGGATCAAGTGGTCTATTGAAGAGGAAGAAGCAGAAGGTGCAGYATATATTGCCTTGGGACTGCCCAAAGCTGCCTCCCAGGCGAGCAAAGAAATAGGCTCTGGATGCAATCCCTGCAAGGCTGACACACGTATAGGAAGGCTGCGTTCAAAGGGTGGTGATTCTTGTCAAACTGAAGAGGTGGGACAGGTGGAGCTCAGCGGGGACTTGTCCTTGGCCCAACTTTGTCCAGGATTTTCCATAACAGCAGAATCGAATTCAGACTCGCGCAGAAAAATTGACAGAATGATCTGTAAACAGCGAAGTTTAGTGCAGCTTGTTTAGGAAAGAGAAACATATATAAACACCAAGTGGAAAAAAGGTGGGAAGATTTGAAAGGAAGGGATCTGCACAGTCGCAAATGAAATATAAATTATCAATCCAACCGCTGCAGAAGGGAGCAGACCTCTTTGAGCTGTGCTAACACAAGCATTGCATCTAATATAGACGCACTCGTCCTGCTGTGCCTGGCATTGGTGGTGCTGCAGGGGGAGTCTGGAGCCCAGTCGGAGTGATTTAAGAAAGATCTTAGTCAACTGGAGATAGAAAACACTTGGGAGTATTTTCTAGAAGAAAATGCTAGGAGTAAAAAGCAGGGATGGGTTAAGAAAATTGATGTTTGGTTGATTTAGAAAAGAGGAAACTGAGGAAAAGCATCTTTTCAGTAGGTAAAAGATTATTATGAAGGGGATACTCATTGCCTCTTTAGCCAGTGAAGAAAGGACAAGAGGAAATCAGCGTGACTTGGAAGAATTTAATCACCTTTTCCCAAAATCCAGCTCTGACAGAGAATGACCCATGGATCCTATTCTTCAGATATAGCCTTTATGTTTTGTGCTCTCATTTTGTGAAATCCAACTGACTAAATATGTTGGTTGGAGCAACTGCGGTTCCTTAGATGTTTTCTTGATTGTCTCTTTAATAGCATAAAAYGTAGCTTCTTTCAGTAGCAGATGCCACGGAGCATCCTTATTGCAGTTCTGGTCTCGTATGTGCCTTGCAATCAAAATTTATCAGTAAAACAGTGTCAGGGCCCAGTRCTTCCCTTTCTGATTACAGGAAAGCGAATAGTCTGTCTTGGTGAAATGGAACCTGCCTGACACTTTTTCTCTTCTATCCCAAAACCTGAGATGGGCTGGCCAGTAGATTGGGACTCTCATTCAATCTAGAGCACGTAAAGATTTCTAGACCTGTTTTTGGGCTGCATGAGAATTATTTTTCTATGCTTTTGAAACAGAGATGGTTAATCCATCCAGTACCCCATGCTTGTGGGAGCTTTACTGCAGTGTCTTATTAATAGACAATTCARCAGGTGCTCGTGAAGGGTATTTTTTTGTACGTCTCGTGCATGGGKTCAGTTCAGGCAGTTGCTGTCAGCAGAGGACTCTCAGTGCAGGAGCGTGGTTGTCGTTTTGTGACTGGGAAGGGAGGCGGTGGGCATTCCCTCGTGGCAATAAGAAGGTGTGTGGTTGGGATCCAGGTGCTTTAAGGGCACATACGTGACTGCAAAGCCCAAGTAACAGAGGCTAAAAAAAGTCAGGGATGCCAGGAATTGTGGATTGAGATGCTGTCTGCATTGATTTGGGCTGCAAGCAATGCGTRTCTCTCTGGTCAAGATCACACAGCCATGTGAATTCAAGCTATTTCTGTTATGATGATTATCCCAGAAGTTTAATTAAACTATGAAATCTTGGCTTTTCTGCTTCGAATCCAAAAGCAGATGCATAGAAATATTGAAAAACTAATCCCCATTTCAATCTCTTTGTAGATCTTCCAAAAGATTGGATCATTTAGCAGTTGGAAACTCTCAGTAGTGAAGCAGGGTTTTTTTTTATTAAGCTGCTGAACATCATTTTCTATGTATGTTATCAAAGCTTTTCTCAAGCTTGACACAAGTGCATCCCAGCTCCTCTCTCAAGCCTAACATCTGCCGCTGTTTTCACAGATGCAGAGGGACTTCTGAGGATTAAAGAGGAGAACCAGAAGCATTATCGCAGGGCTCAGCGGCATCAGGAGAAGAAAGAGAAGATCCAGAGGCATAACCACAGGTTGGGAGACTTGGTGGAGAAGAAAACCTATGACTTGAAAATCCAGCATGAGCATCTGGCGAATCTTCGCCGGACACACATCCTGGAGCTGACYTCAGTCATATTTCCCATTGAAGAAGTAAAGACAAGCATGAGGTACRGAAGGTTTGTCATTTTGGTCTCATGTGGCTTAGCTTGAGCCAAGTGAGTCTAAGCTAGATACTCTGGCTCCCTTAGTGTCTATGGAGAGGAGGAGGTATTTCCCTAAGGCATCCTTTGCAAAGACAGCTCCGGAATAGGAGGGACTTGTTCCTCCCCACTGGGCAATCTGAGACATGTGTCCAACATTAAACTCTCCTAAAATACATAATGAATCCCAAAACTAGGTAAAATAACAAGGAATTTCGCAGGAGTGTTTGTGCAAGTGTTTCCTTCTCTGTGAAGCCTAACCAAGTACATTGCTGATTATAATTTTAAAGCTTCTTTTAAAACCCTGTGATTCTTTGGGTGCCACAGAGATCCTGCAGATGTGTCTTCCGAGAGCGACAATGCGATGACCTCTAGCACTGTGAGCAAGCTCGCGGAAGCCAGGAGAACCACTTATCTCTCCGGACGATGGGTGTGTGATGACCATAACGGGGACACCAGCATCGGTATCACAGGGCCTTGGATAACCCTTCCTAATAATGGAGATTATTCAGCTTATTACAACTGGGTGGAAGAGAAGAAAACTACACAAGGACCAGGTAAGAAGCAAGCTCTCGTTAGGCACATGGGGTATTCCAGAAGRTGTGTAACGTGTGGTATGGATGCCAAGCAGAAGGCACAGTGGACTGGCAGCTCAATCCATTTGTCCTCAGCTGGAGGAACCTGAGTTAGAAATAYAGTGCCAAGAAAGAGGTCAGTCCCTTTGAAACCTTTTTTGCAGGAAATGCTCATCGGAGCAATGTAATAGAGAAATAAAGTCAATTATTGGCAGCTTTGACATGGTTCACGTGCCATAGATTTAACAGGAGTTCCAAGAATTACTATTTACTCCTGCTCCTGACAGACTTAASTGTAAACGGTTACTGGATTCAGGCAATTCTCAATACTGACAAATTCCATTTTCCAGAGTAGACTTCAGTAACACATTAGCACACCCACTGAAGCTTCATGTAAAATGAGACTTTCGTGCTGCTTTTATTTCTTTTAGATATGGAACATAATAACCCTGCTTATACCATCAGTGCTGCATTGTGCTATGCAACTCAGCTCGTTAACACTTTGTCTCTCATCCTTGATGTAAATCTTCCGAAGAAGCTCTGTAACAGGCAAGTAATTGCAAGCCTCTACGAAGATGAATCAGGGACCAGTTTTGACTGATGCTGATTTGGTTTTGTGAACATGTCATTATTTGGAACAGCTTTTATGGTAATGGTTGATGGCTCATGGCWTTCTGTGCTGTCTAATTTTGGGAGGGAGGGCCAGGAGAGTTTTAGATCACAGCTAATAGTCCCTCCTTCCTTTTTACCTCCTGAGAGCCTACAGCAAGTGCCATCATTCAGAATGACGACTTATTAATAGACATATTCAGCCTCCTCAAATTGGGAATGAAATATGACTGCATGGATAGCACTTCTCATTTTATGAGACCCTACTGTGTTTTACAAAATTCCAGCCCCATTTGGCAACTCTGAGTCATGTTGAATAGCTGCACTACATGTATGATCTAATAGGAATCACGAAGAGCTGTAGGACAGGGCTTCATAATATGACAGCAATGTAATTTTCTTTGGGATAGAGCACYAGTGAGGAACATAGTGACTTGCCAGGCATCTGGGAGTGCATCCTGCAGGTGGGATCTGTGCAGAAGCAGGGACCTCGGTTCTGCTGCCGAGATTCTTGAAGTGTTTAAAGCAGTGGCTGCCTAAGCAAGGGCATAAAAGTTGTGTGGGATCACTGTAGTTTTTCTCAGTGTTCATTTTTTTGCAGAAGGAAGGGGTTTGGAGCAGGATGTGAACTGAAATTTAAAAGGAGGGCCAAAGTGGTTCGGGTGCAGCAGACCCTTCTGCGTCTGCTCCCTGTGCACATCGCTTGCCCTGCTGGCTCTAGTTGATACCAGGGCAAGCAGGGCTTGTTGGGAAGATGCTAACAGTCTTGCAAGGTGAAAAATCATGATCTCCCAAGCACACTAAAACTGCTGTACAATTTAAATTCCCTGCGAGAATACTTACTACCTGATATGTTAAGAAGCCAGAGCACAGGATACTGATGCCTGCTGCCAGTGCCTTTTCACAGTGTTCTGCTCTGTGTGTCCCTGTGCTCTTCCAACAGCGAGTTCTGCGGGGAGAATCTCAGCAGACACAGGTTCATGCGGGCAGTGAAGAAGCTGAATGCCAATATCCTTCACCTCTGTTTCTCCCAGGTAGGCTGGAGCACATTTGGATGCTTTAAATAGCTTCTAAAATACCTACATTGACTGCAGGTTTCCTCCAGTAACTGAAGATGTCTTTTTCTTGTAGCATGTGAATTTAGATCTGTTGCACCCACTGCATACGCTCAGGAACCTCATGTACCTGGTCAGCCCAGACACCGAGAACTTGGGCAGGTAAGAAGAGCAGTATCAATTTGATGCTCCTGTGATTGAATTGCCTTTGGAATTATGCATTTGCCTTCTTGTCCGTGGGAGAAATTCTCCCCTTTTGCTGCTTCTGTGGGTGAGTCCTCAATCAGCAAATCAGATATCAGGGTGGATGCAATAAGTCAGGGGAGGGTAGAAAATATAGAGGGGTTTTAGTATGAAATTACATATAGATATCTAATTATATGTAAATATCTAAGAAGTCGGTAGTATAAATCCTGACACGAACACTGGGTAAGGTTTTCAGGGAATACCTCCGATCAGTGAGCCCCGTAGACATAAGTCCAGTCTTCAAGTGATACTAATTTTTATGTAAATTAAGAGTAAAGACAACATTTCTGTTAGGTTAGTAAGCAAAGTAAAGAACATTGCTACTGCAGGCTGCATGCACCAGGTTTAATAATTATTTCTTTTTTTTACAACTGAAGTATAAAGAAGGTAACAGCATTGCTTTCCTCTTGGCGTAGTCCAGCCCCCAGCCACATGTGCCTTGGCCGCTCTACAAATGTTAGTTTAATCTGACAGCCGCTTTATTCCGCCCTCACACATGTTCTGACATTTGCTGTTTGCCCTTGTTCAAATGCACAGTTCCTGCCTTTATTGAAAAGCCTGCAGTGCCACTAAGGTGAACGGACTTGAGGTCTCCCGGAACCTTTGCTGCTCTCTTTGCTTTTATCCCGACTAGTTTGAACCAAAGGCAAGGGGAGACAAAACCATCTAACATAGCTCACTTTGGGAGTAGAAGTGCTTGCCACTGCTCATCTGAAAACAAGGGAACTGCGGGAATTGCTGGAGAATGGAGAATTATATTCAGGAAAGTGGTTACTGTGAAGGAGCTAAGTGCCACAGTGGATTTGCTTCAGTGTCTGGCTGTGACCAAGCTTCACATGCATCAGAAGGGTCCAGGGAGCAAGAGAAGAGGTTATAGGAAAGAGTAAAACATCACTGGGGAAAATACCTGCCCGGGAGGGAAATAGTGTAACCGTTTTCGAACACTTTTAGCTCAGAGTTTGAAAGATGAGTGCCCACCTTCATGGGGACAAAATGCAGGCTGCAGAGCGGCATCTTGGTCTGATGTGAACACTATTGGAGATGAAGAGTCTGAGCCAAGTGGAGCTGAGGCACGTGCTGGTTACACAGATCCATTCCCTGCAGAACGAAGCAGGAGATGCTCCACTTCCCGATGGCTCCCGTCAGGGCTCCATGAGGATCAGGAACGGCTGCTCGCATCAGGCAGAAGTTCCCGGGCTCAGCACAGGGGGAACTGGGTGGAATTTAATGACCTTGGTTATGCAGGAGGTCACAGCAGGTGATCTCATGGTCCCTTCTGGCCTTAAACCCGGTGACTCGCTTCTGATGTTGCCCTGTTAAGCCACAGGCTTTGCCAGGAGGCAGCACTCCCATTCCTTTAGGCGTTAGGAAGGAGGAGTGTTCACCTTGAATTTCCCAACTGCCTGCAAAGTTTGCAGCAAGCAGCTGTCTTTATTTCACTCCAAGTATCGGGGTTTGTAGCTGCCTGATAGTTTCCTTCACAAGCTCCTCCTTTCAGATACATGGAGTATTACCAAGCTCTTGTTGTTTGGAGCTAAAATTTTCTGTCCTAAACGTCTGCTTCAGGCTTCTTCTCCAAACTTTTTACCATGGTAAGTTCTTGTTTCATCTGTAGGAGCCTTGTGGTTTGGAATGAACTCTGCTTGCTGTAGGAGAGGAACCTTTCACGGAGTCTAAAAACCTGCCGTTCTCTCACTGTGGGTTATGGATGGCTGTTTGCAGATGCTCAGTAGAGCCTTCCCAGGCAGCTCCGTGTGGCCGCGAGGAAGAACTTGTTTGGTGTGAGGGTGCCCGAGCCCTGGCCCAGGCTGCCCAGGGAGGCTGCGGAGGCTCCTGCTCTGCAGATCTTCCCAAGGCGCCKGGATGCGCCCGGGTGCCCCGTGCTCTGGGTGTCCCTGCTGGAGCAGGGGCTGCGCTGGGGGATCCCTAGGGATCCCTTCCAACCTYGGCCATGCTGGGGTTCAGGCAGCGGCTGCCGTGGCCTCTCCCGCCAGGCAGCRGCAGCAGAGGCCCCGCGCGGCCGGGAGCAGCGGGAGCCCCGGAGCCGCTCTCAGCATGACCTGAGCATCGGCAGCGCTGGCAACTGCAGCCTCCCCGGGCACCCCTGCGCTGTTTGACCACCCTCACCACGAAGAAACGCCTTTGGCAGCGCGGCGCCCCAGGCTGGCGCCTGCACCCTGCCCTGGCACACGGACCCTCGGCTCCGGGTTGAAAATGAGAGCTGTTCCCCATCAGAGCAGGGTTTCCATTATCTAATTAACTGATTATTTATTTATTATTTATTTTAAAATTAATTATTAATTAGTTATCATCGTGGCGAGTGTGTCCGTGTGCCACAGGAGAGCAGCTCTCCCGCCCCTCCGCTTGGCAGCGGCTCCTTCCTGGGCCTCGCGTCTCCRTGGCCGCCGCGGGCTCTCCCTGCGGTTGGGAATTCTCCTCGCAGCCGGCGCAGGGGCTGGCGGCCTCGTGTTGCCCCAGGGCTGCCCTGACCGCCCCCGTGTCCCCGCTCGCAGGTCCGGCCCCTTCGAGATCAGCGCCGACCTCGAGGACTCCATGGAGTTCGTGGATCCCAGCGCGGCCGGCGAGACGGACGAGAGCGGCGACGAGCGCGTGAGCGACGAGGAGACGGACCTGGGCACGGACTGGGAGAACCTGCCGAGCCCGCGCTTCTGCGACATCCCCTCGCAGCAGGCGGAGCTGCTGCAGAGCCAGAGCACGCAGGCCTCGCAGCCCATCGCCAGCAGCAGCGCCGGCGGCATGATCTCCTCGGCCGCCGCCTCCGTCACCTCCTGGTTCAAGGCCTACACCGGGCACCGCTGATGCGCGCGGCAAGAGGAGCCCGGATCTGCGCGAGGAACCCCCCTGCACCCCGACAACACTGTAGTTAACCTTACGTATTCGGTTAAGTAGTGCCTGGGACAAAGGAAAGGGCAGACTTGGATTTTTTGTAAACCGGAGAAAAACCTTTTTATTTACCCAAGATGACTGTGACGGTACCGTTTTGTAGGGTAGTTAGCTCCGTTCTTCTGGCCGGTTCCGTGACGGCACTTGTGTGTCTTGGTCCTGTCTGCGTTGTTGAGTGTCAAAGGGAAAGGACCCAGCAGCCTCCAGCTCCGCATTCGAAGGGACACGTTTGGGAGAACTTGGATCAGGAGGAGTGCGGGAAGAGGGCTGCTGCTGCAGCCTGGACAGTGTGGTGCAAATGCAGTTCACATTTTCCTAACTCCTTACAGAGTTTTTGTTTGTGTGTGTTTTAAATCTGTCTCACATAATGCACAAGTGCATATTTCTAAATTCTTTTTTCATTCGGGATATGAAAATKATGCATTTTTAACATGTTTTCTAATCTCCGTTGCCATATTTTTAATACAAAGAATCAGCATGGACAGGAATTCACACAGCAGCTCGCTCTTGTTTTAATTTGGTGGTGGATCTTAACCCAGTTTTGCAGCAAACTGGTTTCTTTCATGCTGTTTCCACTGCTCAGCAGTCTAGAAGTTCCATGTTGTGCTGCGCAGAGCACACGCAGGCTCTTTCCTCAATACCACACACCAAAGAAACACTGGACGTTCTCCCAGCTAGACCCACGCTTGACGCCGCCACCGGAGGAGTGCGTTGGTGCAATAATACTCATCAGCTGCAACACCACGTTGCCGCTTCTTGCGATTGCAAAGCCTCAGTTCAGGTTMGTTTAACCAAGTCGCTTGCTCTCCACGCTACGTGCGTTTTAAACCCTCTCCTCTTCTACGTTCCTGCTGGGTGGTTTTGGTACCTAAGGCCAAGCAGCTGGTTTGGTTTCTGTGCAGAGCAGTCCGCGGTACTGCTCCGCTTCCCGGTGTCGCTCCGCTTCCTTGGCCTTTCCCTGTGTTTTCCTTAACRGGTTTGCCCAGGGAGGCTCCCAGCGTCCACGTTAAATTTTACAGGCGCAACCTTTTCCTTCCCCATGGGCCAAGCTCATGCTCCCCTCCACAAGGGGAGATTCCTGCCTCTCTTCCCTGTGCTTTTCCAGCCCTAGGATACTGCGTCTCCCGGCTCCCCCGCTTGGCCCCTGGGGCTTTGGTATCAGTCATTTTCTTGCTTTCTTCCAAACCAAAGACCCCTACCTCCACGCTCACGGCGCACGTGCTGTAGGATGGGGACATCTTCAGTCCTATAACTATTTCAGCCTAACTCCAGCCGTTGGGTCCGTTTGGGGACAGCGGAGAGAACAGCCCAGACCCCTCCACCGCCGTGGTCCATACGGGGACAGCCCCATCAGTACCTGACACTGGCCTCTTAGCAGCTCGCAGCGCTTTTTGTCTCCCYGTTTACATCGCACTGGCCCCCACCATCTAAATACCTTTTTTTCATTTATTTTTCCTCTCCTTTTGCACCTCTCAGTCGCTCTTTCATCGCCACCTTTGCGCTACGTAAGACCCTTAGAGGTCAGGCCAGGATTCAGCTTCATACTCTCATTTTCTTTGCAAAAATAATACCTTTCCAAGCCATATTAACTTTGAAACCATCATGTTTTCCAAGTAATTTATTTGCAACCATGGGACATTCTCAAAGTGCACAAAGGCAGGGCAAGGGTGTTAAAAGGCATTGGGACAGGCCCTTTGGAGAAGTGTTTTTGTAACAAAATACAGATTGTGGTTTTTTTTTTTTAAAAAAAAGGTGTTTTGCACATGCATAGCTAAGGAAAAAAAATGTGTTTGTCCAAAACTTGAGTGCAATTGCCAGGGTTAGTTTTCTAAGTTGCTTTTTGSGGGGGAGGGAGGGCAAGAGCAGCCGCAATTCTAGGTATTTGAGGCTGGCCAGCTCAAAGCTGCCAGGAAAGGGAGATTGCAGGGAATAAATGTGAGAATTTCAACGTGGGCCGAGACTTTGGGGGGTCAGAGGGGTCCCGGGGGCGCGCCCGTGGCCGGCTGAGCAGCAGGGGCCTCCGCGCCGCGGCGCTGAACCTCGTGGCACCCGCRACACGGCCGGGCCTCGCGCTGCAGCTTCCAAACTAGGTGTCACTAAACACAAATGTGGGGTTGTTTTTTTTCTAAATTTTATTGTATTATTGCAATAAACCTTTAACAGAAAATTTTGAAGGTTGTGGATTTGATGGTTGTTGCTTCGGGGTGTTTTGGTTTTTAAACCTGTTGGGGAAGGAAGGCCCAAAGCCTCCTGTCCTGTTGCAGTTAACCTTCAGCGTCATCATCAGGGCGAAATATGTAGTATTGATTATAAAATATATATATGAAAGTGAGAAATTGCTTGCAGGGGGGTGACATTTGGGCTATGTGCTCCTGGGGGGCAGGTTTTCTGGWGTTGCCAGATGTGGTTAATGAAGGTACAGCCGCCTGGTTGCAAGGTGGTCCCAATAAATAATAAAATATGTATAAATAATAAATAAATAAACAGCCATSGAGGCTGCGCTGCCCAGGGAGGAGCAGAGCGACCTCCTGGGCTCTTAGTGCAGCGTTTCCCCAGCGCTGGCCTTGCTCAGCGCCGGCCACCAGCGCCTCACACGCCGCTCTAAAAACTGACCTCACCGGCCCCTTATCTCCTTGGAAAATATCTTCCCAGGCCACGCGGAAGCTCTGTCGCCTCCAGCTCAGGCTTTCCAGGCTGGGGGAGCAGCCTCTTCCTGCTCTTCCTCACCGAGATGCAGCGGGAGGCCCCGGTTCCTGGGCACAAGGGKGGCAGCAGCAGCTCCCGGGCGGCTCTTCCCGCTTCCAGTCGCTTCCATCCCTTCCTCTGCGGCTGCTGCTCCCAGCCCAGGGCCCTGTTGCAGAGCCCCAGCTCCGGCAAAGCTCCACATCACCCTGCGGCACAAGGAAAGGCGGGAAGGGGCRAGTGGCCCAGCCAGGAGCTTCCCACCTCCCTCCCTTTTCCACCAGATTTCCCAAKGGAAGCAGACTCGAGACTGAACTACAGCGGCACCTTTATGCCTCATTTTACAGTGGTTTTTATTTCGGGGCCAAAAAAAAAATATATATGTTTTACAAGAAAGTCAGATAAGGCAGATCTAGAATGCACATTTTATTACAGTAAAAAAAAAATATAATAACCAGACAACATGGATAAGGAAGACAAGAACTTTTTTTTTTTTTATATTCTGACTATACAATAATATTCCTCTCCTTTTATCCACTGCCGCACTACTATAAATGTATCTGTTCTAGTCTAGGTTTAAGGTTGTCCAGTTAAATTGTTTGAAGGTTCTTTAGCCACGTTGACCTTTACCTCTTTAGAGTTTCCTCTCAGGAACATTCATATATTATACAGGATATACAGATTTTTTGGAAACGAGACACTTAAAACCACACACGCACACCTCTAGCTGCAACACCACGGTAGCTGCATTGTAGTGAGGACGCTGCTCAGCCAGCTGGAGACTCCCTATGTACAACTGGGTTTTATAGTGTTATTTACAGAGGTGGACTAAAAGCTCGCTCTCCCCTACCAGGTCAAGGCTCTCGTGTTTGGGGATGTGCAGTTTGGTGGCCCTGTGAGAACACTCTATGTACACTGTAAACAGCACAGGGCGGCAGAGGCGGCTCCGGACGCTCCTTACCCCTCGTCCTCCGYGTCGGCGCCGGCTCCGCGCGGCTTCTTGTGCAGCGCCCGGTTGAAGCTGTGGCAGGCGGGCACCCAGTGGTTGTCGTGCAGGCCCAGCTTGCAGCCCGGGATGCCCTTCTGCGAGCGGTGGCAGCACATCCAGTAGCCCGGCCCGTAGGGCAGCGCCTGGCAGTAGGGCTTGGGGTGCCAGCGGCACAGCGACACGTCGCCCTTCACGTACTTCTTCTTGCACTGCTTGCAGGGGTCCTCCCGGTAGCGAGGGTCGCGGACCCAGCGGGAATCCGCCGGGCGGATGTTGTAGTACTCGATGAGGAACTTGAAGTAGTAGCAGGTGCATTTGAGGGCCACGAGGCTCCGCGTGGGCAGCAAGCCGAAGATCTTGACGATGATGTGGTGGGGCAGGAAGGCCATGTACTGCTGCGGCTCCAGGAGCTGCTGGATTTTGAACCTGGTCTCCAGGAAGTCGTGCGAGACCTGCCGCTTCAGGCAGGAGGCGTCAAGTCCCGGCAAAGCCCCGTCCGCGGGAGGAGCGGGCAGGGCGAGCGGCTCTGCCGAGGCGCCGCGGGGCTGCCCGGCTCCCGGCGCGTCCTCCCGCTGCGCGGCGGCTCCCGCCTTCTCCTGGCCGCCTTCCCTCAGCGCCTGTGGCTCTTGGGCAGCAGGTTGGTCGCTCTGGAGGAAGAACAGCCTCCCCGGGAGCGGCTCCTCGCCGGAGCTGGAGTTCCAGAGCTTCTCCCTCCCGCACCCTTTCTCAGTCTTGCAGGCCGCTATGCTGATGCATAAGGGCTCCTTCCTAGCGGGGTGCGGGTGCTGCTTGGCGAGAGCGGCCGGCTCCTTGGCCGCCCCCTCGCCGCGGCCCTGCGCGGAGCCTGGCACCGGCGCGGC